TTACGTTTTGTGTAATACAAGAGACCGATGTCCAGGTGTCCATTCCACATTATTTATTTCAGCCCGGGGTCATCTTGGCATTATTTTAAGGGGTCAATTTTCATGGAACATTCTAGAACAATAGTCATGTGATAAGTCATGTGATAGTGTTGAATTATTCCTATGTACTTTTTATGTTCTATAGTGATAGATTATTACAGGTAGCACCATATGTAGCTGTAATTCGACTTTGGAATTTTTAAAATGGCCGCCGTTACCATGGAAACTGCAAAAATGTGAAATTTTTTTAAAATGCTTTATATTTAATGAAATTTTACAGAGATGTTAACGAGTGTATGTAGATTTGGAATTTGACTTTGGAATTTCCAAAATGGCCGCCGCTGCCATGGAAACAACAAAAATACGAAAAATCTAGATTTTGTCCAATCTTTATGAAACTTGACAGTAATGTGACCTGTCATGTGTAGATGTGCCATCCGACTTTGGAATTTTCAAAATGGCTGCTGTTACCATGGAAACTGCAAAAATGTCAAAAAATTTAAAATGCTTCAAATTTAATGAAACTTTACACAAATATTGACTGTCTTATGTAGATGTGGCATTTGACTTTGGAATTTCCAAAATGGCCACCGTAACCATGGAAACACGAATGCCTAAATTTGAAATTGGTCCAATTTGTATGAAACATGTAAGTAATGTGACCTGTCACGTGTAGATGTGATATCCGACTTTGAAATTTCAAAATGGCTGCCGTTACCATGGAAACAGCAGAACAATGGTTGGGGGCCGTTTTGGCGACTTTTGTGTTAGCATCCTAACACAGGATTACTTGTTATTATTATTCTTCCTCTTCCTTTTCCACCGCTTTTAAATTTGAACTTGTCCGCACCCGTTCTCCAAAACCGCTTGTCAAATTAACTTAGGGTTTCAAAAATATGTTAGACTAACATGTCTAGTGGTGCAATCAGGGTTTTGTTTGTGCAATGGGGTTTATAAAGGGGTACTTTGAGTGGCAAAAATAAAGGAAGGTTTTACTATAGAACCCTATGGGATTTTATTTTTTAAAATTTCAAATGATTATAAATTGAAAACCGTTTGTGATAGACACAATCTTTTTAATTGAAAATGTTCTAAATGATAAAGCACATTAAATGAAATACAGGGTTAGTCCCCAGGGGTCACCCCCACCCACTGCCATTTAAGAAAGTTCTAAAATCTTGTAGGTGGTCAAGATCCCCACCCCTAAACCATGTATATTATGGTTTGTCATGCGAAGATGGTTTGGATGATATACAGGGTTAGTCCCCAGGGGTCATCCCGACCCCCTGCCATTTGAGAAAGTTGTAATATCTTGTAAATGGTCGAGATCCCTACCCCTATACCATATATATATTCCTGTTCGTCATGTCTCGAAGATTTGAATGACGTATAGGGTCAGTCCCCAGGGGTTCCCCCTACCCCCAATGTTCTAGTATATTGTAAATGGTCGAGATCCCCACCCCTAAACCATATATATTCCTGTTCGTCATGTCTCAAACATTCGAATGACGTATAGGGTCAGTCCCCAGGGGCCCCATCCACCCCCAATGTTCTAGTATCTTGTAAATGGTTGAGATCCCCACCCCTAAACCATATATATTCTGGTTTGTCATGCCAAGATGATTTGAATGATATACAGGGTTAGTCCCCAGGCATCATTAATGCATATAACTTTACTGGACCAAACCAATTTTCACTGGACTTTGCCCAATGTCAGGCAACCCTGGGAATTACGAATTATGGGAGCTACGTTTGGGAGACTTCGTAACAGCATCCTGTTACAATCATTTCTTGTTTATTTTGTATTTCTCTCTTATCTTACCTTTTCTTTTTAAAACGTAACCGTAAATTTCAATAAAATCATTTGATACATCTCACAGTTGGATGAGGACCAAGCATAACATAAAATAAACGCACTTCAATGCCGCGTGTACCTCTTTCAGTTGTTTACTCAAATTTTCTAGTAAACACGTGCGTACTACAATACGTTAACGCGGTATAAATGGAAATTTCTAATGTCTACCCCAGTAAACGCACGTTAACTTTGTGTCCGTTTTTTCCGATTATGCACCTTTACAATGTATCTGTACATGCACTTAGTTAACGACCCTTATCTCATCACGTTTACTATCGTTAACTATCAGTGAAACTTAAAAATAAACAATATTCTTTTGTTAAAATTGCTTTAATTTTATAATTTGCATATAAAACTATAACATTTGAAAAGTACTTTCTATCCGATGCGGCGTAAAGCAATCACCAATCAATCCGATCCTAATGAAATGACAATATTTATTACAGCAATTCAGTTCCATAAAATTTAACAGCCTGCTTTTCTTTATTTTCAATGGCTTATTCATATGTTGCATATGATAAATATGTTCCATAACATCAACAATATGCATAAATACCCTGCCACGACCGGTGTGTGTTTTTGCTTTGTATAGATTTGATATAACGATAGCACATTTATAATGTATATATATATGCTTACACTCGGTACTAATGAACACCGGTATGAACTCTGTTGTGTCGAAGCTCAAAAAAGGAGATCAAGTAAGAATGAAGAAATGGGAGGAGTTTGGTAAAAAACCTTTCTAAATACATAGTTTGACATGTAATGTTTGGGGTAAATTTTCTGGATTTTTGGTCAGTCTGTAAAAACCGTTTTCAATAAATTCTTCAAATGTTACAGTTTTTATTGTTTATATTCATATGAAATTCAATATTGATAATTTTAAATACAACTTTATAACATTTAAATCCACGCTCCGGACGTTTAATTGACTTTATAGTGGACGTGGGATATGCATACCTTTTTCGACCACTAATTGACTTTTTAGTGGACATCCGAATAAATCCACGTTCAGGAATTTGGATATACATACCTTCTATGACCATAACATGACTTCTTAGTCGATATGAAAATAATTCCACGCTCAGGACGTTGGATGTGCATACCTTCTATGACCATAATATGACTTTTCAGTGGACATCAGAAAAAATCCACACTCAGGACGTACATGTAGGATATTCATACTTTCAAAGACTATAATATGACTTAGGGGGACATCAGAAAAAAATCAACGCTCAGGACGTTGGATATGCTAACTTCTATGACCTTAATATGACTTTTCTGTCGAAATAAAAAAAAATCCACGCTCAGGACGTTGGATATGCATACATTCTATGACCATTATCTGACTTTTAGTCGAATTGTAAAAAAAAAATCCTGTTACCTGTTACCTATTCTGTAAATTTCGCCTCTGGCAGGCGCACCACCAATAACCGGTGTAACTTGGGACTTGCTGTATACAGGGGCTCAATCACACCTTAACTACATGATTTGTTTTGGGATTTCAACGTTAACTTTATATTTTATTTTGGGATTTCTACGTTAACTTTGTATTACCAGGTATATACAATTAATGACCAAAAATGGGAAATTAAATATATACTTTAAAACGTGTCACAAGCACTAAAGCATTGTCGTTTACTTCAGTTTCTATTTCATATGTTGTTCCTTCTTTAACATTTGAACTACATGGGACTTTCTTTCTATTCTTTTTATTTCAATTCTTCTTTTTTAAATTCTGTGTTTTCTGGTTATCTCTTTGCCTCTCCAATTTCTAATTCATACTTTCCCAAACTTTCAGTGTAAATTTGCCGGGGGAACGTTCTGATGCTGCATTTACCTGAAAGTTTAATTTATTATTTTGTAATGAAAAGGTGTAATATATAGTATTATAGTACAGAATTAATCCAATCATGTATTAAAACATCAATTTAAAATATTATATACCTGACTAACAAAGGTACTCATTAAGCGTTTAATATCATAATGTGATATATGGCCAGGTTTTTGAAGTGATTGCAATAATTAGGTCACCTGATGGGTATGCAAGTTTATATTGCTTCTACATATGATGTACATCCTTTTTAGTGTTTTTTTTAATGTTCAATGGCAATTTGGAATGAAATATAAGTGACAATATAGGGAGCATTATAGTGCCCAATACAAATGCAAATTCAAGGTATATATTTAATAGCTGTGACCTTAACCATTTACCTTAAATCAATACAGTTGAACTGTTCTTTTTGGTATATATTTACATATACAGCATGTGACCAAGTTTGTGATAAACATAAGTAATCTACATCACATAGTTAGCTTCATTGCGGCACATAGGAACCCATGGCCGTCTTTGTAATATACTTTATATTTATTAAATAATAAAATAAAGTACAAATCAATAGTGTAAAATGTGGATCACTGTGACCTTCCTTTGTCTGGAAGCTGAGGTACTAACTGAGACTCTGAGAGTCATCTGTGTATATAAGTTTGTATGATCTGACACCTTTAAATATGGTTGCTGAGATATGAAATTGGATGTTTAACATAACCAAAGTCAGTGAAGTGGCAAATGTATGTCATCTTTGTACAAGTTTACATGATCCTACAATTTATAGTTGATGAGATATGAATTTGTGCATTTCAACTTGGGGCAAACTAAAATCTACTAAATCTATTGTCCAAAAAGAAAGGTTTATGCCAGCAAAACACCATTATCAGATTAAAAAGTATCAAATGAAACCTCAAGTTTTTTTTCTCAAAGGTAATTGCATGTAATTATCCTAAAATGTATGTATTTACCATTGACAGCCATTTATATCCTTCATTTTCTGTAAAACTGCTGCTAATAACCTGCTGTTCTTTAAAGGATGATGATCCACCATAAGACCTACAATTGATAAGAAATATAATAAGAATCGTATAGAGAGTAAATTTATATAAATATAGGATTCATAATGAGTGAGACTTTTATATTACTTGTTATCAACTTCGGTTGTTCAATAACAAAATAATAAAAATAATGATAAACGAGCCATTTTTTTTAAAATAAATTAACTATAAATTCACTCACAAACTGAAAAAAAATCATATTCCATATAATTACATGAGCATTGCAAAGTATGGCATCCTCTCACCATAGAAGACTGTTGCTTCTAAAGATTTCACAAGGGTGTTTATAATCTACAAGGTCCACTTTGACCTTGACATTTGGGCATTTCTTTTCTATTAATAAAGTTAAAGTCTTAATTCTTTAAATTTTCCTGTATTACTTTCATAGTTCCAAGCAGTACCAAACATTTGCTATTCTGCAACAAAACTGGCTTCAACCTAATGAAAAAAAAAAGTAGTACAACATATATTAATGAAAGTACATGCAGTGTTCAAATACTATAGCTAAAACATATTACATTTAAAATTAACTGGAAACTCAGGCTGTCAACGATGAAATTTGTAATAATAATGTATAAAGGCTTTCAAAACCAAATTGGGTTCATTAAAGTTGTTGAAATTATCCATAAATATAGATTTCATTTGATAAATACCAATGTAACTAATTCTAGTTCAATATTTTTGTTGAAACAAATTCTGTCATTATCTATACATCAAAGTCGTCAAGTATATATAACACTGATTTACCAAAAAATAATTTGAAAATATTGACCCTAAACTTGAAATTATTACCAAGATCTGTTAATTCATTTTTATGACTGCTAGGGCAAATATGAATATATTTATGGTCCTCATTATACTTTATATCTATTTTGGTAAATTATCAAAAAAATACTTTGAAATTATTTAACTAAAGATTTAATTACCTTCCAATTACTCATTATATTAACCATGTTTAAAGCTGTTTCTTCTCCTGATTTAAATTACAGGATTCTTTTGCAACTGCAAATATTTTCTTTCCGGTTTCATTCTCCTTTTTCTTCATGGTGGATGAATTCACAGAAAGTATATTCAATACATTAAGAAAATTGTTAAAATGTGTGGCACTAATTCCTGCATGTATCATTCCTGAAAAATATGATATGAAATGTCAGTCTGCGCATTGGTTAATTAGATAAACTATTTATACTTTTGAGTTCATAATTTTATTTGGAATATACAATTGTTTTTTTTTTAATTTATATTTATACAATATGATTGTAAATTCATATTTGCCTTTATTCTTATAGATCACAGACTCATATAAATTTCTAATAATGTGGAGTGAGGGTGGGTGTGGCTTGCATGCCCCTTCCTCATTTTCCTTTTTCCCTTCATGCATTATCCTGCATTCTACACATCATTCTATCTGTGTTTTTAAATGACTAAATCTCTAAGGTATCAGACCACTTGGTCTATGATCACATGCAAAAGATGATTAATATGAAAATTCTGATTATAAGATAAAGACAACTAATATTTCAAGTTTGTAAAACATAATTTCTGTGAATGAATCATTGTGACTGTATTTGTTTTCTTTTTCAATTCTAATTTCATTTATGATAAATTGCTACCAAATAATTATTTACAAAATAATCCTCCCCTTTTGAATGCAAAACTAAAAAGCCCCTTATGCTGTTGTCTTTCTGTTCATTGCAAAAAATGATAAATAGAATAACTTCCAGGGGCAAAATTCAAGAAAAATTACTAAGTCCAGCTTCCTAAAAAATTTGGGCAGCACTTCCCCTCAAAATAATGCTTTTTATCCTCAAACCACACAATTTCACAATCCCCAGACCATAATAGAGGGGAATTCATGAAAGAAAAACAGGGGTATGGGGCAGGTTCATTTATACAAGACATGAAACCATACACCTTCTCCACCAAGTAAAATGTGTAAAGAGAATCTAGAGAGAAAATTTAAATCTCTTACCAAGTGCAGCTTTTGAATTGATAACAAATTCACCAGTCCCATTTCTTTTCCTCGTATCTACGCTGTTACATATGCATGATATGCAGGTTACATGCACTGCAGCTGCTACAAAGTACCATGGTATGGACCGGGGACAGTCACACATCTTAACGAACAGATTTTGCGCTAGGTGGTGAGCCAGAGCTAGCCGTCGACCTTCTTTCAAGGTTTCGTCAAACGAAAGATCACCTGTGATCGGACGCCGAAATTCTCCAACTCATAAAAACTTGTATCATATGATCTTATAAGTTGAGAATCATTTAAGACTGTGTGAACTTTCAAGCTGAAGCTATTCATATTCTTCGTTTTAAACAAACGCATGAGTTTAATCTTTTTGATAAACCTTCCTCTCTTCCGTGCGATCAGCTGTAAGTTGTTTACACACGTTATCAACAGGCGACAACGGAACTGTACCCGTGACCCAGATATATAGGCGCTATATCCTAAGATTAAAACAGGGAACCAGTTTTACATCAGTAAAACGTTGTTATCGGAAGTTACCTTAACGTATTGTAGTACACACGTGTTTACTAGAAAACGCGGAAATTTAAGTAAACAACTGAAAGAGGTACACGCGGCATTGAAGTGCGTTTATTTTATGTTATGCTTGGTCCTCATCCAACTGTGAGATGTATCAAATGATTTTATTGAAATTTACGGTTACGTTTTAAAAAGAAAAGGTAAGATAAGAGAGAAATACAAAATAAATAAAGAGAGAAATAGCTGCTCATACTCACATTCATTAAATCAAAGATCTTTAGATAAGTGATGTAGAAACTATATGGATCCAAATTGAGTTTTAGACCATGTAATCTTTACTATAGTCATGGATTAGTGATTCCGATACAGAAAAAACGAAAGAAACATATAACGCTATTTCAAATAACCGGAAGAGGGCGAAAAGACGAACTAATAAAAAAAAAACAATACATGAAAAATACAGACTGATTTACGATATTGTGGACCATATGTCAATAATTGCACTGCTTCAAAGAGTAAATCAAATTGCATCATGATAATCGCTATCGCCATTGTCATATTTGGTGCAATTTTGAGATGCAACTAAAATAACAACAAATAATTGAAATAATTATGATTATTTATATGTATGCTTTCCTCCTTCAACCCAAACAGACCACCAGAGGTTTAACTTTAACTTGTAGGATTCAGCAAGTAGCTCATGTATTTTATATTCTATTGGGCAATGCATAAATGAAAAAAGAAACAAGAAGGTGAATTGCAAAATTTGTACTTATTCAGAGTAAAAATTGTTCTCATATAAAAATAAACAATATATACATTGTACATATACATTAGTACAACAAGATAATAATGAATGAAAAACATGAAGCGATAATACAATAATACAGAATACAATAGCTTGGCCTAGGAAGGGGTCAACTAAGCCAAGCCATATAAAAATATTGAAATGCTAAGTGCAACACCTGCAACATAAGCATTTACAAATGAAGATGCTCACAACCTTAAATTGGTATATCTACAAAAAAGTACATTTGTAATGGACCAGACGTATAGATGAACATCTAACAACCATCAAAATAATGATAAAAAAATGCTTAAGGTGGTGAAAGGGGTTGAAGGGAGAGAAAATTTACAAAAATCTTGTTTACAAAATATCGATCTGTAGATCAGCAAGAATGTTTAATAAGATACATTGTGTAGAAACTGACCAATGGTCATCCAGCCAAAAGATCGTAATGCAGGTGTTTCCAAAAGGGTTAAAGAAAATGGAAATTTTCAATCTTATTAATGGTTTCCTTCGTCTGCATAAAAATAGTTATTAAAATAAATTGCCTTTATGCTTTCCTCCTTCAACCGAAACAAACCACCAGAGGTTTAACATTAACTTGTATGAGTCAGGTAGTAGCTAATGTATTTTACATTCTATTGGGCAATGCATAAATGAAAGAAGAAACAAGAAGATGAATTGCGAATATTTTACTTATTCAGATTAAAAATTGTTCTCATATAAAAATAAACAAAATATACATTGTACATATACATTTGTACAACAAGATAATAATGAATGAAAAACACGAAACGATAATACAATTATACAGAATACAATACCTTGGCCTAGGAAGGGGTCAACTAAGCCACCAGGAAAGATGTAATGAAGTAAATCTTCTTTCCTACCCCACAAAAGCCAAGCACTTGGCAAAAAATAAAACTTGAGTTTAATGCATACCCATATGGTAAACCACAGTCATAACTGCTGTTCAAAAGAGATTAATGCTAAAACAAATTGTCTGATTTTCTATATTAGCTATATTAGTTTAAGTTCGATCTATGTCTAAACTTACAGTGAAAATACTGAACATGACAAATAATATTTGAACAGTTATAAGAAGTGATTCAATACCAGACCAAGCAAGTACTACAAAATATACATTAAGACAATGTCCTTGTTAACAATTACAACTTTATTATAATATTAACCTTCAATAAAAAGCTGTGTTCAAATAAATAAAACAAACAAACAGTGAAAATATTGAATGTGTTGAATTATATTTAAAAAGTTCTGAGTAGTGATACAATACCAGCCCAAGCAAGTACTGCAAAAAAACATTAACTAAAGACAATTTCCATGTCATCAATTTGTACAACAACTGTATTTCATAATCATTTTAAATAATAAGCTGCTTTTCTATAAATACACCAAACAAACAGTGAAAATACTGAATATAATAAACACTATTTGATAATTTTTAAGTAGTGCTACAATACCAGCCCAAGCAAGTACTGCAAAATAAATATAAAGACAAGAATGTCCTTCTAAACAATGTTTACAGCAGCTATGTTACAATATTAACCTTCAATAAAAAGCTGCGTTCAAATAAATAAAACAAACAAACAGTGAAAATATTGAATGTGTTGAATAATATTTGAAAAGTGCTAAGTAGTGATACATACCAGCCTTAGCAAGTACTGCAAAATAAACACTAAGACAATTTCCATGTCAACAATTTTTACAGCAACTATATTTTATATTCACTTTCAATAATATACTGTTTTCAAATAAATAAAACAAACATATAGAGAAAATATTGAATGTGACGAATAATATTTAAACGCAAGAAATATTAACAAATGTATGGGTAAGAGGCCAATTTAAGCATACATTTGAAATAAAGACTTAACGGCCCAAGCAGTTGAGTTTGATTAAATTAGCTTGATAGCCTTTTGCTATAACCCATTCATATCTTGTGCATACACAAGTTAATTTTATTTTTATTAAAGACATCCTTTTTGGAAAAAAAGAATGATTTTAATAACTTGTATCGACCGGCCAAAACATCGTCTATATACAAGATTCCAAGTAATTCCAAAGTGTCTCATATAATAAGTTATATGCCTGTAATAACTTATCCTTGTTATTACAGCTTAGTTTATCCCTTAAACGCCTTGTCTCATTGATTTACCATGGTTGATCAAAAATGTATTAATTGAATTGGAAAATTAGTTATCAAGGTTATGTATTAAGTTACTGCGCAAAGTTTCAAGAATTCCCAAGTGCCCATTAAAAAAAATTAAAATATTTATTATATATATGACTAATAACAAACATATTTATTTTACTACAGATTAAGAAAAAAAGAGTAGACAACTCATAAAAGTATCTGTAATAACTCATGTATGCTACTCCGATCCAACAACTTACCCAAGCCACACCCCTGACTGTCTGTGCATGGTTCAAAAGTTCTGCATATGTACATCTATGTACAAGTATGATTTGTGTCAAATACATGACTTGACTGTAAAAACATTGCTGATGAATATTTAAATAAATATATGAACTAAACTTGTGATATATGCCAAATACATGGTTTTTGGTCTTAATATACCTTTCAGTGCATTTTGAATTAGGATATTGGCTCATAAAATATGTTTGTAATACATGTTAACCATTAATGTCATGCTTGCCTCAAATTGTTTTGCAATATTGTTTATATGCATTTTTATTATTATCATCATCATTTTTTTTTATATATATATATATATAGCTAACACCCGGCCACCGAAAGCTTTATTTTTGTGAAGCCTATGTGGTCGTGTGGTCTGGCGCGTCGGATACAGTGCAGGCGATTCGGTGTCACGATATCTCAGTAGCATGAGTTCGAATCTCGGCGAGGGAAGAACAAAAAATTTGCGAAAGCAAATTTACAAATCTAACATTGTTGGGCTGATGTTTAGACGTTGTTTGAAAAAAACTTACGATCTAACGACAATCTCGTCATTAAACCTTCAGACAAAGACAGTGCAGTGGTTGTCATAGATAAATCTGCCTATATTCAAGAGGCTGAACGACAACTTGGCGATGCAAGGTTCTACCAAAAACTTGACTCTGATCCTACAACATCTTTTAGCAGAGAAATAACTGATAGTTTGGTAGAAATGCACAACGATGGTTTCATCGATGAAAAGACTCTTGAATATTTGAAACCAGAAAATCTAAAACCGGGCAGATTTTATCTTTTACCTTAAATTTATAAGGCTAATAACCCAGGAAGACCTATAGTTTCAGCGAACGGCCATCCGACGGAAAAAATATCGGAATTCGTTGACTTCCATCTTCGTCAACATGTTGAAGACTTACCAATTCACATCAAAGATACTACCGATTATCTTAGAAAATTCCAAGCCTTAAATCCACTCCCCTCCGACACGATACTTGTCTCTATGGACGTCACCTCCCTCTACACGAATATTCCACATGCAGATGGCATTGATGCATGGAAAGAAGTTTGGAATTCCCGACCAGTGAAATATCCACCTACTGAATGCCTGGTAAAAATGTCCACGCTGGTACTAAAAAACAACAACTTCACTTTTGATGGAGATCATTATCTGCAAGTGAATGGAACTGCTATGGGCACCAAAATGGCTCCATCATATGCCAACATATTTATGGGCAAACCAAAAACAACTCCTTGAATCTTCCATCGAAAAACCGCTTTCCTGGTTTAGATTTATAGATGATGTGGATATGAAATGGAATAAAAGTGACGAGGATTTAGATACAT